AGCTTGAAATGTTGTACTGTCCACAAACTGGGGTACCACCTAGATCTGTTTTTATCCTACGGTTTGAAGCTTTATGGGATTTATAGGGCAAGTTCATGACATTGTTTGAGGTGAATCTCAAAATTCTAACTTTTTTTGTGTGTGATATTGATATATTGTTTCCAACAGTATACAAAAGATATAGAGTGTCACACATTGTAGCACTCACAGGGGTTCCCCTTTATCCCCACAAAAATAAATTGTACAAATAGACAAAGTATTTCCAGAGTTATTACCTTTTTGTCATGGATGTGCCATTTTCAGAGCAGAGGCCATAAAAGAGGCTACTGCTTAAAGGGTTGTTGAAACACTCAGTCATCTTGGAAAGAAACGTACTTACTCATGCATTTTATTTAGCCTCCTGTCGTGCATCAGCTCCTTGTGTCAGAGAGGAGTCAATGCTCAACAGGTAACCAAGACTAATAAAGGTCTCAAAATAGCCTAACTGCATTAGATATTGTACACAATAACCACCTTCACCACACTCATGGTCCATCAGAAAAAAAAGCAGTTAACGTTTTAGAAGAGAAATGATTAAAATCTTGCTATTGATTGGCTTTTGATTGCAATTCTAAACTCAAACGTAAGGCAATGAATTCTCCATTGGGGAAGATGAATAAAAGAAATATGTGTTGTTTATCTTTATCTTTAAATGATGTTCCTTTGAGTCATACCATATAATCAATGAATTTAATTTTCTAAACTATATGAATTTGAGTTTGCATATGAGTTTGCATACGGTTTTTGTGTTAGTGCACATTCGCTCTGCCATGTCTGAACTCTGTCTGAATCCTTGAGAATCCCTTAAAGTGTGATGTGACATGTCCTGAAGTCCCTGTTTAGCACCTTCCTTTGTGTGTTCAGGGTGTGATACCTGGTGGTGGTGAGCGGGAGATAGCTGAGGTCTACATAAACAAAGAGGCTGCAGGGACACCGGGGAGACGGAAATGGAAATGGGAAGAAAGAAAGAAAGAAAGAGGAGAGGGAGAAAGAGAAATGGGATTTTAATGGTAGGTTGTCAATTCTATCCAATTTAGCACAGGGGGAAGATATTTTCTTAGAATTATATGGATGGATCAATGCAGCTTTCCTGCCATCTTATTTTACGTGGTGACATCAACTATTGCTGTGTTCATCACTAGGCAGCGGGAAAAAAAACTATATTTTTAAAGGTCACAACCTTATTACCACTTGTCAGTTAATTATGCATTTAGAGTGGAGGGCAGGAGTTCAGCAGTGAAAGACTTTGATTGAGCCCTTTGAACTCAACCAGGAAAAAAATCAGTTATATTATCCAATGTGATCATCATAGCTGGAGGATACAGACCTCTGTGTCCATCATCTCCAGGTCAGCCAGCTGCTGCACAATTACTAATGCAATCACCCCTGTGATCTGAACTTCAGAACCACCAGCCAAAATAAATAGATAAACATGTCTACGATACGGCGCTGAAGGAAGAGAAGGTGTGAATGAGTCATTCTGTAGGTTCATCCAATGTGAACTCTTGAGAACTCTTGATCTAAGTCTTCATAAGGTGGGCTGCGCGATACGGGATCTTTAATCACATGACAAGTAATGCCTCTCTCACTAGCACAGGTCATGCTCTGGGCTTTACGTAGTCCACACTTTTCATCATCTCACCCCAGGAGACTAGGAAGGGCCGGGCCGAATCATGTTATGTTGTATGCATAAAAAGAATGATAGAAATATTAGCATAGTGTGTGGTGTAAGCGTAGTAAAAAGAGTGTGGGTGTATGGTGTGAATCTCAAGGGTTTAATGAGGGAATATTCCACTCAGTACATCCACGTCAACATCTGGAACATAGCAGGTTGCGCAGAGATCCATTTCAGAATTCCCCAGACTCACCGTGTAGATGAAGGGCCAAACACGCCTCTGTTTCTATTCTAGAAATCTATCGCCACGATTTATCAACTTTGATTGCTTAACACTCGGACCCACAAAATGGAGCCCTTCGTAATTTAGAAGCTTCTCTAAATGCAGTTGGCCGGGCTACATGTAAATGTTTAAAAGTCAAGTGAAGGAAGGAGGCGGTTAGACCTGAAGTTATGTCCTCCAAGGGAACTTTACAAAGATCCTCTCAAAGATTTATAGCCACTTACCTTGGAGCCTGAGTCGATATTCATAAACGTGGCTTCAAACAAAGCCCCATATCCACTACCCCTGCTTGTAAATAAATACAGATATGCCTATTTTACAGACAGTACCAATCTAAAATATTACCGCCAGCATAATTTCACCACACACATTAATATTTTATAGCACATTGTATTTTACCAGATTTGATCTTAAACTTTGATGGAAGACCCCAAGGATTTTATTCTTTATGAGTCTGTATCATTATCAGCCAAGCCTTATAAACAGCACAGCAGGATTTGGCCTTGCTTTACTACTCAATCAATAGAGTCAACAAGGTTTTCCTCTTCTGTATTTGTAGTTTTTACACTGAGATCTTCTTTAGACTCACATTTACTTGGGTTTTGTAGGCTGTATTCTGCCCTTAGGAGGCCAAAGAAAGAATCGTTGAAACATACATAACCTTGTGTCAGTGTCTAGTCCTGTGCTGTACTGTTACGTAACAATCCTTGGAAATGTTTTTAAATATACCAACCATCGAAGATTTATAAATTACTTTTTTTTTGTCAGACCCTCTTTAATCAAGGTTAAAATACTGTGTTTTTTATTTAAACGAGTAAAACCCAACCTGTACAGTATCTGCCTCATTAAAGTGGGAATACACGCTCAACATCTGCACATGTGTGTTTGCATCTGTGCTTGTTTATGTGGCTCTGTAGTGATTTAAGTGGTTTTAGTGTCAAAACACGTCTAATGAGCTGGCACAATAATTATCAGCCATTTCGCTCTCACTTATCTAATTGAGGCTTTATATTAGAGTTAATACCTCTGCCTACGTACACTGTTTTACAGTTAACAAAATGTTTTGCCAGAAATAGTGCTGTCAGTAATTTAGATGTTTAAATTGTTCATTTCGGTGTTTTAATGTCGTCCTATAAACCATAATTATGAGGTCGACAATCCTACCCGCATGGAGGCAGTTGATCAGTGTATTTTTTTAATGCATACAACGATGCATTATGCAATGATAATAAAGTCAAAAAGGACACGCAGTGTCCCCGGTTCTAACCACATTAACTTTTTTTGCAGTAAGTTTTGCAGAATATTTTTTGGGTGATTGAAGTCGAACGGCATGACTGTAATCTGATGTGCTTTACAAAGGCTCTCATATATCATCAAGGGCTACTAAAGCTCCTCTCTTTTTACATCCTTCCCGCACTTTTTCTTGCTGTTTTCATGTTTCTGCCTCTACTCTTTCTTTCACACTTTGCTCCATTTATTTGAAGCACTTTGTGAAATTCTTGTCTTATCCAGGTGAGTATGAGTTGATCCCAAGACCCTTTGCTCTTGTCAGGATTCTCCAAGCCTGTCGGGCTCTCCTGGGGCCCTGTTTCACACACCAAATTGATGTCTCAGACTGGAAATGACACTTTCAGCAGGATTTGCCATTCTAAACCACCTCAAACCCATGTGATCTCACCCATTCACTCTCAGAGGAATTGCCTTGAAATGCACCATGGCTTCAAAAGCCAACGAGCATAGCATGCCTCAATGAAAATCTGATGCATTTCCTATCGGAATAAAAGGAAAGATATTCCAAAATGCTGGCAATGTAGAGCAGTATATTTTTTTTTGCTCTGAATAAAGACCAACATTGGGTGAGTAGCTATTGCCTGGGGGAATGCAACGGAGGGTAAAACAGTGTGAAACTAAGATGAATCAATAACCACATGAATTTTCATGTATATGTCCACCATTTGCTTCATCTTGATAATAACTGTCTCGGTCTGTCCTTCCAGGAATACAGACACAGATGGTGTGATTACTACATGCCATTCATATCCCGCCATCTTTTTGTACAATCTTTAAAGAAGGACCACATTGACCATGCTGCTTTCCTAGAGGAGTAGTTATGATATAATTTGGCACTGTAGTAGAAGGAAAAGGAGAAAGGTGTGACCAAGAATCCCTCCCTTGACTTATTTTCATCCCAAAGTCTTTTTTGGGGGTTGCTCGTTTCTCCCGGGGGCCTCTACACACTGGCATAATGGATAAGGGCAAGGGTGTGAAAGGAGCACCTTAAGGCTCCTCATTCAACTCTCCCAATCTCCGCTGCACACTCTCTTGAGTTGTGAAGGCCTTCTTTATTTGCCCTGCTAGCATGGGAGCCCTGTAATGGGCTCTAATTGATAGGGAGGTGTTGGGGTCTCATTCTGTATGGGCAGAAGGGATGAGAGTAAGAGACAGAAAGAGGGAGAGAGAGAGGATTAGGTGCGGGCATGTGGGGGGCGGAGAGGGGGGAGGAGGAGAGGCTTCTGGAGCCGTCCAGGCCCCATCCGTAATGAGTCATTAATTTCCTAGCGGTTTTGTGGCGGTTGGCTCATTACTGGTCCGCCGAGGAGCAGGAACAAAGCTCCGGGTAGGTAGGAGGTGAGCTTAAATAGTTGGGGCTCAACACTCCCCAACAAAAGGAGGAGGAGGACGTTGAATGGCACTTGGAACAGATGCAGTAAAAAAGTGGCAGATGCAAATTGCGGGAGAGCAGGTCTTCCTTCAAGCACTTTTCTCCTTTTTTTATTTTGTCATACTGCAGCCTGAGTCTTAATTAGTTGGTGAGGTGCTTCACTTCTGATAGGGCTGTGTCTCGTTATTGTCACAAAGAGGGTTCGTAGCGATGGGAGGAAACGCATATGTTCCACAGTCCCCAGTGGATGCTGCTCCGTGCAATAGTTTAATTGATTTATTTTAGCCTCTAGAAATTGAAAGGTGCTTTGAAACAATGTTGCATATATAAAATAGTATGAGAATGCTGCCTACAGTTAATTACTTATGTTTTTAGTTAGGTGTTTACTCTTTTCTCAACAGGCAAAATGATCACGGACAGCTTGGAAATGGTTCTGTTGACGTCCCTCGCTTTGTCGAGCTTGTGGAAGCATGTGTCGAAGGTCACCTGTGGGGCAAACCACAATCTTGCACTGACAGGTACAATACCAACTTTTAAATGTGCAGCCATATCGTCCACAATCTGCCCCCTTCCAGGATTTCTTCTTTCTAACGTATATTTATTGTACCACAAATGGATCTTGTTGTTGACCCTTCACCTATTACACTAAATGTCTTATTCTGTAAAAAGGCACCAGCACAAATCACCAGGACATTGTCTTTAAGACATGGATCTGACGTCACTTCTCACGAGCTGTCACTGTGTGCTTCAAAGTTCACCTACTTTACTCAATTTTATGCGAATATCAGAGCCCTCAAGCCGTCGATCCGCACATCTCCTGAGAAAGAGACAAGAAGGGAGAGAGACACAGTTAGCGGCAATATGGCCCTGGCTCCTGATCCATAACAGTCATTGCCTGTTACATACATTTCAGAATTCATTCAGGCTATGAAGATAATCGAGGTAGTCGACAGTTTCCCCTGCAGCTCAATGGATTTATGATAGCACTGTCAAGAAAATGAGGCGAAATGACACAGTAGCTGACTTTAGCTGCAAATAATGTGATAGGCCGTACAGTGGTGCAGCAGCAGCTGCTGTCATTGCAGGTAATAAGCTATAAAGAAGCCTGATAGCAATACCTGTCATTTCTTAATGGCTGACTTCACTGAAGAGCTTTTGTGGCCTTTAACATGAAGATAATGGAAGATACAACAAATTTTACAGCTTTTGCATTGCATCCATAATTTATCACCGGAGGCCTCATGCAGCAGCAGCAGGAGCAGCACAACAAGGACATCATGCTCCTAGAGGCGTGTTGGAGAGATGAGCTTCAGGGGGTTAGAGGCCCCTGCTACACTCTGTAATTAAGTCCAACGAACTGTCATTTTACACCTTTCTGTACTTGCTCTTGAATCTTAAATGTTTTAGCCAAACAGTACTGCATGTATTAGTTAGTGGAAATAATCTCTTGATGGTGTGATGTCGTGCAGGTGACGGGAAGCTGCTTCAGGGGGGCGGTGGACGGGCACATGAAGAGGAACCTCTTTCTCTCAGAGGAAGTGACGCCATAGCCTGCTTCTTACAGGTTAGCCTGTGCTTATATTTTAAACTTATTGGTTTAGCGTTTTTTTTTTTTTTTTTACAATTACTACATCTATCGGTGCCTTGTACCTCCAGTTGTACATTCAGACAACGTGTACTTTACACACTGGATTTGGATATACTCCACACACTGACATGTCCACGAACTCAACGTAACATATGTGTAAATCCTTGGTGTGTGTCTTGGCCCTCACACAGACGTCTGTGTGTGTATGGGGGTGGGGGGGGGGGCTTGTAGCTGTGGTGTCCATCTATTAGCATCATTTATTAAGAGCTCTCCCAGCGGCTAGTGTGGCTACATAAACAGAGGTTGGGGGCCGTGGCTCCTCTTTCACCTCGCTGCAGAGAACTTCAAAGTCACCCAGCAGATGAATGCTCCTTGTCATCCTGGATGATGTATTGGCCCCAGTCGCGGTCTTCTCACTGTAGTATGGCCGGGACCGGGGCCCCCTCTTGGAGCCAGAGCTCGGCCATTTATTAAGTTTAGCTGTATCTTCAAGACTTGGCTTTAATTCCGAAGGGAAGGCATTAATCCTTTTAATAAACACTTTGTACGGTCGTTTTCCTGTGCTGCCAATGCCGTCTATTATTTACCCCATTTGAAGTGTAATACAATTTAAGTAGAGTGCTAAAAAAGTATAATTTGTAGCTCTGTTGTTTTAATTAATTCTCATTTTATGATATAAATGATTAAACTATAGCACTTTAAATGAAAGTGGTATACTGCCCGGTATACATTTACACATATTAACACAAACATTTATGAGCAACACATTCATGTGTTATTTAAGTGTATGGACACACACAAGCAGCTGTGTGTCGCATTTGCTCTTCTAAATTCTGTAATGTCCCCAGTTTGATCCCTAGCTCCATTCTGTCATGAGGGAACAGAAATATCCATCTCCAATCAGGCCGTAATGAATAGCCTGATGAGTGTTGGGCAGAACTGAATTACCAGATAGATTTGAAGAGCGTGAGAGTGTGTGCACTGTATGTGTGGGCGGGGGGGTAGTAAGAGGGTCAGTAGAACAGGACACATGTAGAAATTAATTCTCTGCAAGTTCAAAAAAAGAAATTGGCTAATTCTGTCATTTGAGCCTCACGGAATTGCCTTATCTATTGGTGTGAGTTTTCCTATATTGGGGTCAAACTGTGAAGGGATGTGCAAAGGAGAGGTTAGGGAGAGCGAGTTGGAGTGATGGAGGGTGAGATTTGAAAATTGAAAAGAAAAGAGCGGACATATGTGCAGTCAAATTCTAGGAACGACAGAGCAAAAGGAGAGCAAGAGTCAGTGGTATGAGGGACAGCTTGCCTGGGCCGCACAATATTGAGGGCAGCAGGTGGAAGAGTGGCACAGTTAATTAAAACGCCTGTCTTAATGTCTCAGCCCGTCACTCCGGGGAGAGAAAGAGACAGTGAGAACAAGAGAGGAGAGAGAGAGAGAGAGAGTTGGCTGGCGTTAGCTGAGCTGCACCCACCCAGACATCTAGACAGTAAAACAAGCAGCCAGCCAACCCACGGGCCACATGTCAGACAAGCCCCGACACTACGCCCTTCACCCGTATCATCCTTTCCAACAAGGCACGCACACACACCCGCGTCCAAACCACGCCTGCAGTTCCCCCCTTTTTTTTTTTTCCACGGAAACAGCCAACCCTTTTCTAATCGGATTTTTTAAAGAGACTTCTGATGTTACCGTTTTGCTCAGCAGCATCTGTAGCGTGCCTCTGGACTTCCAGCCTCGCAGCGTAATCTGTCTGTTTTTAATAATTCATGGGAACCACAGGCTGTGCACTGTGTTCTGAATGCTGAAGGTAATGGGGATGTTGTGATGTTTCTATCATGGCCTGTCTGGAACAGCAAGCGAATCAAACCGTTAAAGATCTGATAAGCAGTCTGTTCAGTGTCATACCGGCATTGGCTGTCATCGCCGCCTTCGGTGGAACCTAACAAATCTATTGAGCTCTGTTGCGCTGCAGTCTAGAAAACGGTGGTACGCGGCGTAGTTACTCTACTGGCTTAAAGTTTCATTTTGCAATGTCTGAGAACACAACTTTACTGTCCTAAAACTGCACAGGTTACGTGACTCGCAGTGTATTTTATCCGACGTTTAAGGGCAAACGAAGAGCGGGAGCATCCACCCATGTGCCGGGTTCGGGGGTCTGGAGTTGTACGTCGTAATGTTTGACTAATGTTTTATCAGGCTTTGCCGTATCACAGCGGATTGCTTTGTCAATAACCAGCCTGGTGCCTCAGTGAGCAGGAATCTGAGATTGTCAGGCTGAGTGACAGGCTGGAGATGGCAGATAATTCAAAGAAATTGGAAGTGTGAAATCTTTAAGGGCCACTTCTTAACACAGCAAATGCCAGGGTATCTTTCCATCAGCTGCTGCCCGCGCCAGCCACCGCATTGTTAATGGTGGCCTGTCTGTCCATCACGACTGCTTCACGAGGGATTTAGACCTGGTTGGCGCCTTATCTCTCTGGCGGCTTTCCACTAACTTGACCACTGCACAGGCCTTGAGTGCTCTGTGTGTGTGTGTGTGTGTGTGTGTGTGTGTGTGCGTGGGTTCCAGGTGGCCGGTGGCGGTCACAAATCCACCTCTAGAGCAATATTTTTTCTTTTCTTTCGCTTGTTTATAGATATTGATTTGTTTGTCATTATCTGTCTGACAGTGTCTCTATCCATTGTAACAAAAGCAGGAGCCAAATGTAATGGTGCTTGTAGCACTTGTTAATTTAGCTGTCAACACCAATGATTGACCTAAGATTGTAGCAGTAAGAGCTCTTTGTCCTTGTGAGTGTTTCTAATATCGGCTGTTGTCTTTCTGAATGGATACAGGGAAGCAAGCGTCTCGCTCCAAATGTCCGTCAACTGTTTCTGCATTTTTTTGCATTCTTCAAATAATACGGATATTTTAAAATTAGAATTCAGTAAAAATGTTGAATGGTATTAAGGTATCCAGCTCAAAATGCAATGCAAAAAAGCAAAGATTGAATGGGAATCAAAGTCTTTTATGAATATACGGTACTTTTCATTAATACGTTGAGATCTGGGGCACTTGAATACCCAAAATTAAAATGCCCCATTATTAAAAGTTAATTATTAGTTTGATAATGAGTTCTATGATTAAGAAGTTAATAAAAGTAACAAAAGTCATTTTTTTGTGCCAGAAAATAAAACCGAGAATCCACGTAGGAATAAAAAAAAAAAAAAAAGAACTGGTGTGCGTGCTTATGTGAAAACGTGAGCTCGCTGATGTTCATCTGTCTCACCAGAACGGCCTCTGGTCCATTGAAAGTTAAATATAACAACTTTGAAAAGTGATATCTTTACCCAGCTCACTGGCATCTCTGTGACTTCTTTCGCTGGCACACAGTCACTTAATGAAAACAGATGGAAGTATATGAGGAAGAAAGAACTGGAGTCAAAAAAGTCTCTCACATTTTCTAATTAAAAAAAAACCCTACGTTATGTTTGTATGCACAGAAATATTATTAGAGAAAGTTGATAGACAAGAAGTTTGTGTGTGTGTGTATTGGGGTGAGGTGGGGGGGGGGGGCTGCCTAAGATCCCAAAAAAAAATAAACAGAGAAGAACAGTACTGAGTATGTCCCCTATTTCCCCTCGTGAAGGTCTCAATTCCCTGGTAGTTCCCAGGCCAAAGTCTCAAGCTGTTCAAACATCCATTAGGATGTTTTGTTTCAGACGCTACACGACAAAACAGAAACGGGCAGATGATGAGAGAGAAATTGAGGGAGAAAGAAACGAGACGGTAAGAGAGAGTAAGTGAGTATGAGGATGAGAGTGAGATGATGGGAACAGCAGAGAGAGGAGAAGAGGGAATTTATCAAGGAAGTCGTGTGATATTTAATGATCCTTGTACGTGGAGAAGGAAGAGCACCAGCTTGTTCTCCTCCGCCAAATACCGATCCCCTAACTTAATTTCCTGCTCAATTGCTGTTCTATAGTGCATAGTACGGTGATACAGGCTGGCAATATAGAAAACAGATTGCCTGTGCGGCGGAGTGGATAAGGCTGAGGCTTGTGTTTTACTGGAGACCTGCAGTCTCCAGGGGGGTCTTGTCGGTGGGCTTCACAAAACCAACAAAGCCCATCTTTCCCTGCAACTGGCAGCAGCTGGCAGGTAGATCTTCAAGCGCTGGAGGTGGGGAAGTGGATCTGTGGGTGTGGTATGAGTCCTGCTCTTCTTTGTAGTGGAGAGTTCCACACTCTTCCATCCTGTGTTGGCTCATGTGCTGTGACTCCGAGCCACTCAAAAATGTAGGCCTGCATGGACCGCAACCATCAATCAGTGTACAGAAACACGTGCAAGTACAGATACAGTGTTGTTCCTAGAAACACACACACGCACACGTGGATACAGTACCACACACACACACACACACACACACACACAGCTTCCATCCGCAAAACACAAACACAATACACATGCCTGTTACAGTGTGAGTGTGAGGTGCTTTGACAAGCCTGTATGTTTTTCTTCCATATAGACCAACTATGATTTTAATGCCTCCTCCATGAAACCCAATGCACATTCTGTATTTGCATATAGACCGTAGGTATACTGAGCCAGAAACATATGACAGTGATTATTCAAATTAATTCATTATGAACATTGAATGTTCTGTAACGTTTGTATAGAAAAATAGGTATTTGTCGCATCCTGTTGGTCATTGATGTCACACGATTTAACATAAAGCTAGTTAATAAAATGTGCACGATTGCTACAATGTTGCTGAAATGTAGTAATACATCATTTAGTATTATTCATAACTCAATATAGCATAGGAAAGAAGGAAGTCATGTTAATTGTTGCAGGGTGTTAAAAAAACAAATGGAGCACAGATGAGCGTTTACAGTATGAATGAACAGAAAAGAATGTATATTTTCTGCACACCAGATCTATATTTTTGTATTCCTTTTCCGCTTGAAACTACATGAGGTGTAAATTAGCTGTG